AAAAGGTCCGCCCAATACCCGAAACCCGCAACCTTGTCTACACGGAAGCACAATGATCAAACCTCAAATAAAACGAAAAATGGGCACAATGCAGAAAGTAATCGAAGGACCTGGATGTCACCAAGAAGAAGGCCCATGATTTCCTCGGTCTCAGTCGACAATGCATGGGTCAGACACGTCAGCCACACTTCCTCCGACATCTTCACACTCGTTAGAGACATTTTTCTCCTTTGTATTACTATTTCTAACTACAAAATCAGCTCTCTCTCTCTCTCTTTCTATATATATAGATATGTATACTGAGACTTGTTTATGCCGTCTAGAGCAAGTCAAATTCAAATTCGTCTGTCTCTGAAAACTGGTTTAGAAATTAGAATACGCTTTGATCGTAGAAGAAAAGGGCAGAGGGTTTTGTGTCGGGGTTTGGGAAAAATTAAAGCCGCGTAATTGTTCTCTGTGGTGGGTCACAGTTGGGTGCTCTGCACCCGCAGATCGTCGCCGCCCAGACATCTTTCCGTGAAAGAATGGACGGGCTGGATTTCGTTTGTTGACTGCACTGTCCACATGGATGGAGCCAACTGTTTACTTCCTAGCAAAACTGATTTAGTTATTAGGTAATTCTTAAATGTTAGATATTTAGTTACCTTACGATTACTAATCTTTTTTATTATGTCTTGAATTAATGAAAAAACTATCATTGGTCACCAATCTCTTGTATTAGAATTCTCTTGGGTTTTATCGCAAAACCATTGTGCCGAAAAGGGCGGTTCATCACATAGTTCGTCATAAGCTCAAGTTTGACAAGGATTCACGTCCGAGTTGTCTCACCAATCGCCGAGAAGGAGGTGTCCAAGCATCATTTGAAGCAACTTATCGTCGATAAGGAGACGGTCTTCTTATCCTTTAAAGCAAACTGAGTATCGAGATACACGATCTTCACCATGGGGCTACAACGATGATGCGGCGACGACTTCGATTTTGCAATTTTGTAGTTGTCGTCGGCTGCATCACCGTCACAGCCCCACCTCTGCGCCTTCGGCGCCGCTGCCGAAAATACCTTGGAGAAATCAGCTCGAAATTGTTCCTGCAATTGGCCCTCATCTCGTCAGTGTGGTTCTTCGACGCGCAACAGAACTTCATCGACGATGCATGAATCCCTTCCTGGTTCTTCGGTCCGTGATAGGATCATGTGCATTCGTCCTCAGTTTGGCAGTTTCGACCCTGAATCCCTCCCTGGCAGTTTTTTTGTAAAAGAAGAAAACGAAAAGAAGGATGAGAAGAAGAAAAAAATAAGAGGAACAAAATAAGGAGGGATGAGAAGAAGAAACGAAATAGGGAGGAGAGAGAGGGCACAAAGAGTTAATGCAATCACATTAAATCCGCATTAGTCATATATAACTAGTACGTACCTCGTGCGATGCACGGGACAAATATATTACACGAGTTATTTTCACATGATTTGTCCGTTTAAGTCTAAAAAGTAATAGGGTTATTATTTATTTTCACCTCTTTTAATCAGCGTTAAGTCTAAAAAACGATAGGGTTATAATATATTTTTCAGCTTTTTTAATCAGAGTTTTTTTTCTAGTCAGAACATTAAATGTGAGTATGTTAGGCTTGTAAAAGAATTAATATATTATACTAACACATTTATGCTAATACAAATTTGATTTTAGTATATATATTTATTTCTTGATATAAGAGAAAATAACAATTTTACTTATTCTTGTTTCACCATATGATGNGTTTTATAAATCAAAATGCACAAATGTGCGAATACACAGCAGCCAACGACTGAATACACAGCAGCCAACAGCTGAAAAAGTGGGAGGACAGGTCAGAAGCCCGCCTAGAATCCCGACTAGCAACACTAGAATAAAAAACACACTCACAACTAAATTAACCAACAACACAAACAACTAGAACAACTACAAGGACCCCAACAGGGTAATACCCGAGTGTCGGACCCCAACGGAGTAATAAGTGTGACACTCGGGCTCACAGGGGCCAACGGCCCAGACCAAAAACACAAAACACAAACCACACAAGACAAACACAAATACTACAAACAATAAACAAGAACACAAATAACTAAAAAACTAAAATCAAAAGCCATTCCCCGACAAACGAACTAGCCCAAACCAACAGTGTCTGATCGACACAAGACAAATCCTAGCCAAGCCACTGCTACCGAAACTGCAATCAAGCCTATACAGTAGAAGAAACCAAGGCCCGAACCAATCTCCAAATCGACCCATTTACAACCGAGCGAACAAACACAAGCCCCACTCCAGTCCCACCCGAACCCGTCTAACACCACTAGCCGAGCTCGGGAGAGCTAGGTCCCCCGCAGCCTAACACCACTAGCCGACAGGGGAGGGAGTGAGAGGCGCATTCCGCTACTCCGGCAACCACGGCGAAGGACTCGCTCCACCAAGACGCTGCCAAAGCCCCACCTCACAAAAGACCACACACCTCGCCACCGCAAACCCCCGACAACTGGAGGCCGAACTCCACCCGCAGCTCAACCGGAACAGGCGATGCCAATCGGGAGGGACCCGTAGTTCGCAGACCAGAAACAGATCGCCACGGCGACGATGACCACCAGAGGACCTGCCGGCGACCGAATCGCTGACCATCCTCCACCTAGGGTCGAGCATCCGTCTGGAGCCACAGGCCGACCAACCATCTCCGACCACCTGCAGCAGCAATCGAGGGGTGCCAGTCAGAAGTGGTGCGAGCCGTTGAAGACGACCATTGGCCGGAGCAGAGCAGTCACCGCGGAAGGCCGACTATCAAGATTTTTGAAGAAGCGGCGGCGGATGGATTTTGGGGGTTAGGGTTTCCACTTATGTTCAACTAATCACCCTTAATTATTGTTTTATTATAAACTATGTTGTCATATAATGTCATTATTATTTATAAAAGTTATAGAAGTTATACGTCTTTTTTTTTTTGTTTTTATTTTATGCAATGAAAAATCTTTAATGCAAATTAGTATTATTTATTTATGTAATCGATTTAAAATATATAAATAAATTTAAAATTAAATAGTGTATAAAAGTTTTATAAAATATATACACATGTTTTTTAGAATTTAATTTTGTATACTAATAAACAACTTTGATTTAGCAAATGCCAAAAACTCAATCCCTTCTATAATCAATATTTTTCTAATTTGCATTATAAGGATTTATTGTTATACTTTACAAGAATTGCATTATAGAAACAAATAAAAAAAATAATCATGGTTGTCAATAATATACAAATAAATTCTAAAGAGCGGTTAATATATTTCAATTTTAATTTTTTACCATTAGTAAAATTATTTAATGTATTTGGTCATCATCTATTAAATGGTAAATTATATTAATTTAAAAAATAATTTATTTTTCAATCTTGTAATTTTTTATAATGGATATCAATAAAATTATTGCAGATATCAATAAAATTATTTAAGGAAACAATATTTTTTTATCAATCTGATTTGATCTTATTTGAAAACGTGTATATGGAAGCAATTAATGCATATATTTAAAAAGTTTCTAAAAAAAATATGTATTAAATGCTCTAAAAACTTTTGACTACTATTTTTAATAAATGGTTATTCTTATTATATATATATAGATATAGATTCTATTATAAAATAACTAACGGTCTAGTATTAATAAAAATGTTATTTTCACTAATTTTGCTACTTAGTATATATAAGTTGTATATCTGCAATAAAAATATGTTGAGTGGTTGAATATGTAATTTTCTAAAAAAAGAAGAAAATATATGTCGACTTAATGATTAGATCGACCCACTAGAAGACCCGAAGACGCAATGCCTTATTATTCTTACAAAAAAACTTAGGAATGTGACTGTGTGAGAGCGCAGAGCAATTAACTCTTCGAAAATAAACATAAATATTAATAGTGTGATTGTATGGGGTTGGATACATTACATGTTAGCCACATCCATGCTATGCTTATTAGTTTTTTCACGCTTTCTCAGTGCACGAACTAAAAAAATACAATACAATTCATGCTGTGCTTATTAGGTTTATCATGCTTCGTGAATGCCTTTGGGGGTTAAAAGTTACATTTTACGCGCAATTTGACAAGTGTAAATTAATACTGATTGTCCAATACCTCATCACACAATGCCAATAAGAGAGAAGCCAGTAATGAATAATCCCTACAATGGTGCATTCAGAATAATTACATAATGGGGGCACCATATAATTAACACTGCGTGCCTCGCTTGCAGGTTTGATGTATCTTTTTCTTTTTCTTTTTTTTTTTTAATATATGTATACATATATTGACGGAATGAGCCTGAGGCCACTATATATATTAATGTATGTATCTTTTTTAATGGGCCTCTAAATATTTTTGTTTTCTTTTAATAATTAAGTTTATTATTTTGGGTTGTTAGTTGTAGGTTGAATTGTTTTCTGTTTGGGCTGTGGACATAATTTTGGTCTAAAGGAATTTTATTCTTTTTGGACTACTTAACTAATATATAATTATTATATATAATTATTTTTAAAAAAAATATCATTTTGTTGGAGGCATGTGACTCCACAATTTTAATGTGGATCCGCCACTCAATCCATATATATATGACAGTGCCGGTGGCCGGTTCTTTGGAGCCGGAAATAGGACTTAAAGACCGGACGGGCTCGCCTTTGAGTCTACGCAACATTTTTCGAGTTAACAAATGGGTAACTTCCTTTTTAACCCAGTGATTTATTTAAATGATTATTATCAAAATAGTTTTGACATTGTGTAGGACCAAGTAAAGATTACTTAGTTTATTATGGCCAACTAAGACTAACTAGCGATTAATTAGATCATAATTAGCCCTTTAATTTGTTTAACTTTTGTCAACTTAATTGAGTATATGGGAGGATTGGATTAAGAACCCATAGCTATGTAACAACAACAACAACAATAATAATAATAATAATAATAATAATAATAATAATAATAATAATAATTTATTTTGGCCTAAGTTTGTAGTCATTTAAAAATTTGTGACTAAAGTGACTGGACGTATCTTTATTTCTTTATTGACCCACAATTATGCAACTATAAATTTTCACGAATATAAATAACATAATTTGTTAATTCTTGTCAAATTTTTGTTATTATAACATATGTTTTTTTTCTTACCAGAATGACAAGAATATATTACTATTATTAAATCGTTGTAATAGACAACGTTTAATGCATCAATTACTTTTTCTTTATCATACATAATAAATATCCGTTTTATCAAAATAAAATTTACGCTTTTTATAATGTATATAATACAATTTAAATGTATTCTTTTATTAATTGCAACAGAATCAGATTGAATCTTATGAACACTACAAGAAAAAATTAAAATAACTTTAAATATT